TTCCAAAGATATATAACTGCACAAAGACACAAAGCATACCTTACAAAAACCTATTGCATCAAAGATAAACATGTACACAATAGTGCATGACTAACAGAGATGCATGCATGCATGTACAAACTTATAAAAACGTCACATGTGTTCAAAATATATCCGCACGCATACATTCCAACATGCAACTGTCCGTACATGTGAAATTCTCATTTGAAATGTACTGCAAATGTATACATACAGATCATTCCAAAGATATATATCTGCACAAAGACACAAAGCATACCTTACAAAAACTTATTGCATCAAAGATAAACACGTACACAATAGTGCATGACTAACAGAGAGTGCAAGGCCTAACAGAGATAAAATATGCATGCATGTACAAACTTATAAAAACGTGACAAATTTACACCCAAACTCTGCTCATATTGCACAAATGTTGTTGCACAGGTATGTGTATCTGGCACAAGGAAGCATCTTTTAAATCAAGCCTAGGATTTAGTATACCATGCTACACTGGCTTGCTGCTTGGGCCATGAGGTTCTCCCACCAAAAAATAAAAACAATTTACATGGCATTCATGTTGTAATCAACACACAAGTACATATAGGTAAAAATACTATACACACATGCACCACAGAAAGGCAGGTGAGCACACCCATATACTCAGTGCTTTTTTTTCCAGGAACCCCTTCACCACTGTGATCTTGATAGAGCAATACAGCTCGCAAGACAGCTCGTCAGCGTTAACCAATGCTGAAGCTGCATGCAGCGGATGGCACCCAATGCATGCCCAGCCACAGACACACACCCCCAGATGCACACACAGACCCAAGCCTTAACAGACGCATCCCAGTGCACTTTGCAGCATACCCCCATGTTGCTTTACACACTCTAAGATTTCTCACGCATCATCGCGATGCCTGCATCCAACCCAAAGCCATTCCACAGAGAGGGCACAGGCTGCCTGCGCTGTGCATACATCCGGAGGCGCAAATCCTATGCTCGGATTTCTAAGCGGTCCCATATACGCATACAGAGAGCACATCCCGCCCGGTATACAGAGACGCACAACACACACTCAGCCTGCATGCGCGCGCGCACACAACACACACACACACACACAGAGAGAGAGAGAAGCCCTCACTGACGCGCACCGAGACCACACGCGCAAGACTCTCAAAACAAGACACACACCTCTCCTCGAGAGGCATGCTAATTTTCCCCCTACTGCGCGCGCACATAACCAATCCTCCCCATCACTCCCTTGCAGGCTCCCTCGGCTCATCACGCGCACGCACGCACGCCCCGCCGCCAGGATCTTGTCCCCCGTGGCTCCTCACTCGCGCGCCCCCCCCCCGCATCCATCCATCCATCCATCAATCCGGGCGGGCGCGCGCCGAGGCTGAATGGCCGGATGCCTGGGAAGGGGGGCGTTGTGCGTGGAGGGCGCGAGCTGGGAGCCGGCAGCCGCGCTGGCTAGGGGGGGGGGGGGGGGGGGGGGGGGGGGGGGGCTGAGAGCCGGCTCGCCTGGGCTGGGAGGCCGCCGCACGAGCCCGCCGTGTTCCTCGTCCTCCTCCGACCGTACCTGTAGATGTACCAGACGCTTCGGCGCCGGGGCCCCAAGGCCGGCCAGCTGGACGAGAGGGCCGGCTGCTGTGGCTGCTGGCTCCCGCCGCCGTCGTAGCGGGCCATGGCGCCGCCGATGATCCCGGGCTCCCAGCCGCCGCTGCCGCCGCCGTGGGGCCCAGCCACATTCTAGGGGCGCGCGGTGGGGATGGGGAGGCGGGCGAGGGGCGCAGCAGCAGCGGGACACGAGCAGCGGCGGCGGCGGCGGCGGGAAGGCTGCACCATACTCACATCATGGCACCGCGGGAGAGAGAGGAGGAGGAGGAGGGCGGCGACGACGACGACGACGAAGAAGGAGAAAGGCGAAGAGGAGCGGGGGGCAGAGGCAGGGCCGGCCGGCCGGCCTTGTTCCTTGGCGGCAGCAGGAG